AGACATTAAGTAGACTACATTTAGACATTCACAGAAGCATTCATAAAAGTGTCATGATTATCTCATGATGATTCCAATATTTGCAAGTTTTTTTTTTTTACAAACGTTTTCAGGAACTCAGTGTTCTTATTCATATGCACGTACACACCCACCACAGACAATCTAGTATAATTTGCAGCGTCCTCCAAGAACTGCAATTTTATTCCAGTTTCCTCTTTTCATAGAGCTATATTCCACCTACAGTAATTCCTGTGCATTCAAAAGCAGTGCGTCTTTTTGGCTATGTATCATACCCAGTTTAAACTATTTTATCCTATCTTAAGTAAGCATGAAAATGCGCACCAGGCCTGCTTTGTATCATACTCTTATAAACAAACGGCAAATTATTTGTTTCCAGACTCATCTGTCTGTGTAAATGGCTCTATCTGAAAACGCAGCTCCACTTTGCTTTGCGGCCCTGGCAGCTGCTGTTATTTATGTTACCGCGGTGGTATTCAGGCAGTGGCAGCAATATGCTTTTGTCACTGTTGATCTACGCGGAGGGTTAAACGGCTTTTGTTATGAGTGACCCAACGATGGCGCCCTTTGGATAAGAGTGCATCTGGACCAGACTGGAGAGGAACTTGTTTGAGAAGCACTCCCACATTTATGAATGTCAGGTGAGTCATTCAGTAAAGCTTAATGAGTAAATGTAAGCTTGCAGAAATCCTTCAGTTATTGTCTAAGACCAAATCCCAGATACACTGATATGACAACCCTCATTCAAATTAATGTTAGATTTACAGTCATATTTAGAAGTACAATCTGGCCACTCATAACAAGCATTTGATTGATGAGAACATGCATTAATCAGTGCAATCTTTATTTTTGCAGCAATCTGTCAAAACTCCCTTTTATGAGACAAACTATGCAGAGGAACAAAGAAGGACTTCTAGTTAAAGATTAAAAAAAAAATACATCCACTCTCTAGTGACCTTGCACTGCACTAAAACGCAAGGTTTCTCTGGCTTTGTATTCTTATAGTCACTTGTTAACAAGAGCTTTTATCTTTTTAAAAAGTCAATCACTGGCCCATGTGCAAAAAAAAATAAAAATAAAATAAAATAAAATATGGGTCCCCCTAACCCCACCCTCCAATACATCAGAGAGACATTTATAGATAAAAAATGAATACCATGCCAAACAATACCACAACAATACAACACACTACCCAGGCCTACCCAACAACTTTTCACAAACAGAACTGAACAGCAAAAAAGTATAACCAATGAAGCTCAGCCAGTGTCAATAATAATATACTGCATGCAAACAAATGATCTTGACACAGCCGCCCAAAATGTAAAAGCACAAATCTATAATCACTAATTTTTGTGGGATTCTCCAGGCCTTTCTTTCGGCAAATTTTTTTTATTACACTCAGTTTACGTAGTGCAGCGTCATTAAAAAATGACGCTGCACTACGTAAACGGCATTACGCAGTTCTACGGCAGCCGCGAGGTGCAAAAATTACTGCACATAACATACATACAAAAAATATATTTATTGTGGCAACGAATTAAAACATTCCCTCATTCTATTGGGTGGCGGGCCCCCAAATGGCCCGGGCCCATTTGCACATGTATACCGTCCATGCCCAGACGCTACGCCACTGTACATCGATTTGCATTTAAATTTACTGAAAACTAAGGACCTTTTTTCAAGGATTTCCAGAAATTTTATCTCATAAAATGGTGGCTGACCACCAGTAAGTCTGACATAAACAAAACACTAATCAACCATTATGACAGCACCACTTTATGATTGTAAAGTGCCCCCTATGTATGTTCTCAGCTATGAGTCTTACTCTTAGGGTTTCTGGCCACTGATACAGCAGGAACAGATTACAGATTACATCTTTAGCATCAGACTCAACCCCTGTGCCCAAATCTTAAATCACCATTGTAAGTGAGGCGCACTTTTAGCCCACAGAATGGTAATATTCTGCTGTATGTATGGTTTTCTCTTTCTTTGACATTAGCCAAGTAGGAGATTCTAATTCCCCTGTGGTTAATTTACCTACTAAACACTAAAGGCAATTTGTCAGTTTAATGATGGTGAAAGGTTGTGTTTGAGCACTGTGAAGAGAGAGAGAGAGAGAGAGACAGAGAGAGAGAGACAGAGAGAGAGAGAGAGAGAGAGAGAGAGCAGCTAGTAATTATGAATATTTAGAGTTTCATATCAGTGTTTGAATTGATTTATACTGTTTGCTCATGTGTAATCAGAATTAATTAGAGGCATTTTTTCCTGAAACGTCATGATGATGCAGCAGCTTTTCACAATTTAAGGAAAGATTACTAATTAAGACACAATGAGATCTGAGCATCTTATTAAGACAGGATTTGTTTTACAGTAAACTCTTGATACTTTAGATTACTGGATGTCCTTCTCTTATTGTGAGCATGGGGGGGGGGGGGGGGGTTCAAGGAGCGAGATCTGGTATGTCGTGACATCTCATACCTCACTTGATGCCTAAGGCGAAATGTGACATGAATTGACCGATACAAAACTGTTCAGAACCATGTCAGGAATTTGACCTACCAAAACAATGAAAAAACAGACATGCCAAAAAAAAATAAATAAATAAATACATTTCAATTATATATAATGTATAATTGCAATGATGAAAAGTAGTGGTGGGGAAATAAACCCGGCTTTTTTGGTTGGGTCCACTTGGTTTGGGCATGGTGTTAGTGCGGTGGCTCATGCTATGATAATAATCATGTTATGATTATTTTTTATGAAATTACACAGGTATGAATAAGAATTGCATTTCATATGCTACATGAGGCAGAAAATGAAGGATATTTAGATGACGTCAAGAAAGGTGAGAAACAAATAAAATTAGTCTTTTGGCCAATTCATTAAGAAGCTATTGTTCTGTGCTCCATCTCCTTGTGTTAAAGACACAAGATTCCATGTAACTGTTGTAATATAATAATGCCAATATTTTATGCTGAAAAGTGACTTTTTGCTAAACTGCAATTACGCGTTATAGTTAAACATTCCCACGGTTCTGACGGCGGCTCACAATGATGTGGTACAATACTGATAAATTGAGCAGCTCACTCAGTTCGTCGGTGTAAATGGGGTTGAGACTGAGAATAGAGCTCTTTCATCTTGGCTGATAACAATGTCCTGATTACATCTAAATGTAGAGCAACATTCCCAGCATTATCAATCAACGCCATATTCTCAGACCTCCACAAAAATTAGCTCCAAAATGATCTCTGCCCATTTAAATTTTCATTGACAGAGCACATTAGTTCTTCCACCTTCCACAATTAGATTGGCAAATGATCACAGTTTTCGTGGCTGTAAAGCATCAAAAGCGAGATGATGTTGCGGGACACATCTTCCTGGTGTGTTCCTGGAGTGTACAGCGTCTCTTGGGAAACCTTTTTTCATCAGCGACCGCCGAAGACCCACAATTCTTTGCATTTGTTCCATGCTGGTGAGTCTCATTCATTTCGGCCCAGGCCTTCTGATGTGGGTCTCCTGAGGCGTTGTCCCACTGAAAAGCTGCGAACCTTCCTCCGAACCTTTCTTTCTCTCCTTCTTTCCCCTCTTTTTCTCTCCACCCCCTCTCTCTTGTTTGACACTAACTGGGGCAGTCAAGCTGAAAACGAATTATTTGTAGAAGTTTCCATAGACAAAAGGGATGATGCTGACGGAGTCGTGATTCATTTGCTCTTGTGTAGGCTACCTCCTTTCCTTTAGAAGATGGATTTGCTTTCGCCTTAGAGTGACGGAGATGCTCTGTGATATAAATCACATTACTGCTGCTTGACTTAATTGATGGTGAATTTGTTGGTGGAGTCCCATAGGGTTTGGTAATTATGACATGCAGCTGTTAAGCACTGTCACTCTGGACCAATCACGTCGGTTCACTCTGTTAACTAGCAACACAAGCATGCATCTAATTTGCTGGGATTTCCTTATAATCAATCATATACGTTTGGTAAAACGGTAGTCATTTTTCACATATTATGACAATGATGCCTCTTTCACAAGTCACCTCTGGCCATCTTTCTTGCAACATAGGGAGGCATAAATTATATGCCTCTTATTTTGTTATATATACATATGTTTGTGTGTGTGTGAGGGGGGTGTATGTGCAATACTGTTACTGGCAGGCAATGGTTCAAACATTTTTACAGTTGAAGGGCGGCAGGTGGCTGCCGTTGGTCACTAATGGGTGTTTCTACAGCTAGATACTCTACATTTTTTTAATGGCTGCAAAAATCTTATCACAAATTTAATGTAATGCTTGTGAAAAATAGATTAAATTCTGTTCACTGACATTGTTCATGGAGATGAAAAATGATCAATGAATGAATTAAGCTCACTCAAAATGTTGACAATTCACTCTAAAAAAAAGTACTTCATCAACACACAGTAACTGACGTAATGAGGGATGTACTGTGCCCTCCAAAAGACTGGACATGCCCTATAGGCAAAGTGGGGTTTTGGGCAACATGTGCATAAATCTTTGAACAAGGTCAGCATAAATCATTAAATTATTTCTGTATGTAAATGCATGAAATAAACTGGCAATTGTTGCAATGAAAAGATATTTGTTTTTAAATAGCCCTATTTGGTTTCTCTGCGTTTTGCATTAATTCATTTTTATTTTAACATCATTTTTAATAATTTGAAGTTGAAATGATTACAATGATACAAAACGTTCAGGATGTATGATGCTATTGTCCATAACCCATTTCCAAACTTTTGTTAAGCTACCTGTAAGTGATGACAAGTGACTGTATTTACTAATGAATCATGACTCATTCACTCAAGTGATTCACTAAAATAATTCTGTCTGCATCCAAAATCGCAAACTATCTTGAGTAGGTACTTATTTTGAATAAATAATTACTTCAAAATCACTAAAAAAATACATTCTAAATATGAATGTGTGTAGTATGAATGTTGCCATGCTGCCCTTATCATCTGACCTTTCCAGCATCTGTTGCGTCATGTCACCGCCATTCAGAAATCATCTCCCTTGCTTTTATGGTATGGTAAAGTGTCAATCATATGCACACTTCAGAACAGGACTTCAGACGAGTCACGGCTCATACTCCGCAGATATGGATACTCCGCAGCAGTTATCGTCCCGCTCTGCATAAAATTATCAGAATATGAACAATTATTAGAGGCGTACCATAGTGATTCAGGATAAGACAAAACCACAGTTTGGAAGATAGATTCATTGTTTACTCGCTCATTACGTATATAAATATTATTTTTTATCTAGTGTACCTTTAAATGTAAATTACTGTACTCAAAATTAACTTATCTGAAGATTATTGGGCCAGTACACCTTTATTCCTTTATATATGGGCTATATGCACGCATAAGTTCCGCATTTGACACAAGGATGCTCAACAGTTTCCGGTTGGGGAGATTAAAGCGGAGGAAAACCGAGGAAAACGGGATTATGGCAGAGTCTTCAAAATTTACTGTCCTCCCGTCTTTGAAACTAAACGTTCATACGTTTAGATGTAATTTTATATATAGTTATGTTTATTTAATATAATTTTAAAAAGAAGCATAAACACAATGAGGGGTGTCTGTTTTATCTGTTTTTGTGACTAACGTTTCTTTAGTATAACCATGGAGTATAAAAGCCAATGTAAATTCTCGGTATTGCATTGGACTCTTCGATCGGCGGAAGTTATCGAGCATCCTTAATCCTTCACCGGAAATACCGCCATGCATAGAGCCCATTGACTGACAAATCAGACAAATTTAGAATACATATTTAAATATCTATAATAGCATTTTTCTGTTTTGAATTTCCCCCCTTTTTCATTTTAATTAATAATCATTTTGTGATTACTTTGCATTGAATGCAAACTATAAAACATTTTTAAGATTTCTTCTGTCTAAAACCCAAAACCAAAGTGTTGACTAAGGCGTTTCCACATTTGTTTGTGGACACAGTAGTCATTAAATCAAAGACCACTTCCACTCAATCCCCAATCACAAGTAAGAGGCATTTGAGATGAGGCACACCTCAACATATGTAGTTAGATAACAAGAGACTGATCTTAATACCAAGTATAAACAGGCCTAAAGAAGTGAAATGCTTCCTGGATGTAGCAGAGAATGTACAGAAAAGGGTGAAGCAGCAGAACACAGAAGAAATAAAGTGTTACTTAAAGCATTGAGGAAAAAATGACTGACAACCTCAATAATCAATGGAAAGAAACTAATGTCATACTGTCTAATTTCTTAGCTTAAAGTATAACTTCCTTTCTTTCCAATTACCATGCATGGCTGGCTTTGCACAGAGGGCTGAAAGCTGTGGACAGACATATTTACCTTCAAATAATCAGCTTTGTTATTTCTCTAGCCAGTACCCTGGGATACCCATGTCAGATTTAAACCTGGATATTCCCCCTTTCATCCCCAGAAGTGTGAGCTAAATAGATGTGCTGATTGAGCTGATGGGAGTGATTAAAGTGTGAATCTGTGCAGTGTCAGCAGGAACGCACACCATCTTTTCCATGCTGATGAGGACTGCAGTGGTAAATAAACGTGGTGCCATTGTGGAATAGTATGCTGACCATCACTATGAACGCTCATCAACAAAATAAAAATTCTCATCAAACTAAAAATATGCCCAGCCAATAACCCTTGGTATGGTTGGTTGTGAAAAAAATCAGCTGTATTATTCCAAGCTTATCTAGACTCTTGCCAATAAACTCTTTTAATGGCAGTTTTGAACTGTGACCACACAGTCTTGATTTCACAGATCTGTCAACCTGCATTACTGCATTTCTAATAATTCTCTTTCTTGGCTGGGCTGAGACGACAGCTCGCCAGAGCCAGCATCAATTACTGTGAGAAAGAAGGACCTGGACCCGAGCCAGACCAGATCAGACCCCAGCAACCCTCACATACAGTACATGGAGAGAGACACACCTGGCCTTCCAAGCCCAATTCAACATGCAGACGAAGCAATAGCCACAGCACCGTCCGTAAAATAATCTTATTAGCTGAGTTTACTCACACGGTTTAAAGGAAATGATTGCTTTGACTCATGTGGGCCTTTTTAATTGATTTATTTGTGCATCTTTGCCAAGAATGAGATTGGGACATTTCTGAATGGAATCCAAGATGCAGACTTATCTTCGTTTGATTAACATAGGCTCTTGAGGCTCTTCGATCATTGATTTTAAAAAAAAGGCAGTACTGTCATGCATAATTATCCATTGGGTATGTCAATCTCTTTCACTTAAGGTGTTCATTCACTATTTGACTTCAGCAAGGTTACCAACTCACACTGTAGACGTAGATGGCATGGCATGCAATGTAAAGCCAAAAGGCATGATTTATGTGATCGCTCCGATCGCCAAGCTCCGACTTGACTGCTCACACTGTGAAACATCTGCGATAAACCCTATATTTGCGCCGATAGACCATGATATTGGTATCCAAAGATACTGTCAAAAACATCAGCTATCGCTATCAATTTATGTATTAAATTATTATTATTCTTATTATTAGGCTAGGCCTATAATTTATATTACCATTAATTTGCCCTGCAATAATTTCATAGCGCATCACCACACTGAGAGGATAATAATAATAATAAAAAAATTAGATCGATTATCTTTCTCCTCATTAAAAAATATTTCAAAACATTTAGGTCGGTTGTACAATGAATTATAGGCCTATAATTACAATTATTAACAGTCTATAATATGTCAGAACACTGCAATAATCAGTCATCACTGAAAACTAAAGAGTAGCCTTATTTCAAAAACAACTTGTTTAAATCAAAATACTTCTCTTCTCATTTTAAAAAGTCAGCATGGGGTAGTAGCCTACATCAACTGTTTGGGTACCGACACTCTTCAAAATATCTTCTTTTGAGTTCAGCAGAAGAAAGAAATTCATACAGGTTTGAAACAACTTGAGGGTTTGTAAATTATGACAGAATTTTCTTTTTTAAGTGAACTATTCCTTTAAGACAGTTAGGCTACCCAAGATTTAACTCGATTTGTCTCTGAGAGAATATGCGCAGAAGGCACATCAGTTGTTACTTTCACTTTCTGTACAGTAAATAATTGACTGGGCTCTGAGACTTCTTCACCGACATAGGTCTAGTGCAATATTTGCACATTGCTTGTGTGATATCCACTGACCTTCATGGTTTAAAAGTGACAATGGTTCATTTCCCATGATAATAAAATGAAGTAAATATTAAATAAATTAGTAAAGAAAGTGAAAGTGAAAATTGAAACAAGTAAATTAATGATCAGGGGTGGGTTTCCCATACAGCTATGTACTTCACTACCATAGTACGATGCATCGTTTTAGAAATCAACTAGCTAGTCACGACTGTTTCCCGAAACCCACTGTCGCAAAGTATCGTTCAACATTGGTTTCGCCCGTGGTGGAGTAATAACTACTTTTAATGAAACTGTTTGAGATCCAGTTAACGCTAGATTTTTTATATATAAATTACAGTCATCTGAGGACTATGACTAATTGTTCTCAGTTATTTTGCTTTATTACCAGACTCAATATTTGGCTCGTTCTTACATAGTAGAGCACGTTCGGACATGCGCACTCTTCAAAATCAATACTATGTGTTGCATTTGAACCGATGCGAGCACAGTAGATTTACTGCAAGTCACTTTGTGTTTGACTTTGTCTTTTTCTGTTGCGTCAAGCTGGCTGCATTTCCCGGGTCTAACGCTCGTTCATCAATGTGTCAGCAACATGCCTGATGTCAATTTCTATAGCGTGCTCATAATGATCTAACTGGTGTCCCACCCCAGGCGCTGACAGCTGATCAGTGCATCCACATGGCAGATTTGCTCTGAGGTGATTATGTTCCATTGATATTTTCATAGAGGATAAAGAATCAAGATTGTGGCTTGAGCAACACTTCCGAGTGAAAACAAGAGGTTAAGCAGATTGAAGAGGGCTAACCAAATAGTTGGCTAAATTCGGTGCCCTCTGAAACAATATTTTGTAGTGTGTACATACACTTTATTTCTACAAATTAAGCCTGCACTGTCGCTCTGAGCAAGAGTATGTTGATGAGACCTTGGATTTTAATGCAATATATTACTGGATTATATATATGTTCTTGTTTAATATTTCCTGTCGAAGTACGTACGAGACTGACATTGTTCTTTGCAGTGTTGTGGTCTAATATATCACCATATTCTGGATAACAGTCCTGATGGTGTGCTTTATCAGAGAGCCTGCTAGAGTTTGGCTGAATGCTCTGGTAAAAAGATGAGAGAGGTGGCTTGTGGCGTGATTGGTGTGTTAGTGAGTAATTGTGATTTGTGTAAGAAGAGTAAGCAGAGATGAGATTGTATTTAGTGGATTTGATCCTGAGTGGGAATTCAATGGCGAGAAGGAGAGAATATGTTCTCCTATCGAAGTGCTTGTCCTTTTTACTTAGTCTTTTCATTCTAAATAGCCAATGTTTTTTTTTTTTTTTTTTGAAGAAATTAATACTTTTACTGAGCAAGGACACATTACATTGATAATTTACTTTTGAAAGTAACAATAAAGATTTAAAACAATAAAATTTTCAATAATTTTATAATATTACTATTTTTACAGTATTTGTGATTAAACATGCAGCCTGAGCATTAAAAAAGTTTTTGAATGTTAGTGAATATCACAGCCATGAACCATAGTTTACTTGGTTGCAAATGTTACGGTTACCAGGGGGATGGACATGCTAACTCTAGATCTAGATATAAAAATCTATTTAATGCATCAATATTTTAAACATCAATATCTTTGATTTGTTACATTGAGTGACTATATATTAGTCAAAAGCGAATGAATTAAAAAATTTTGAGGACACTAGCACATACAGTACATGTCTCAGAACTAACACACACAGAGAGAGTAAAATACACCCTGTCATTCCAAACCGGTCTGTTTTTTGTTTTTCTGCAGAAAAAAAGGAGATAATTTAATGAATATGTGATTTAGTGAATTTAATACAATGGCAGTACATTGTGACTCAATTCAACACTTGATAAAATGCTCAAGTGTGTCATCAAACAGGAAATTGTTGGACAGTGCACAAGAGAGCAAAAGAAGCCTCCGTTTACTGTATAATTCTTAAATATCAG